TCTGATGTACTTCATAAATATGTATTGGAACAGAACCAGTTAACTAGTGTTTATGGCATTTTATGCACTACTTAAAGAGCCTTGTGGGAATAAATGTCACCAGATAAATTCCAAACCCCTTCGGTGGCCAAGGAAGTTTTGCAAGATTTGTGAAAATAATACTGGAGGTTGATGTGATTTTGATAGGAAATCCAACTTCCTGGCTCAGAGCTTTAAAAAGCATTGGTCCTTCTTTATCATTGCATTTTTATTGTACTTGCCAGCCCTCAAAATAATTTTACAATCCCTTTAAATACATACATATATATACACATATATATGCACAACTCTAAAGGCATATGCAGTACAACCCTATCTATGTTTACTCAGAAGTAAGTCCCACAGTACTTAGTAAAGCTTATTGCCTAGTAAGTATGTTTAGAACTGCAGCCCTGAGCTTTTAACCCTTTCATTTTTCAGCAATCTAACATTAGGCATTGTAAATTTAAACCAAATTCTGGACATATCCCATTATTTACAGTAATAGACAAACCCAATAGAGATATCAGTTGCACTTGTGAAACATAGCATGCTGCTTTTTAGTGTAACAGGGACAGAAATATGTGAATCATTTTGGAACAGTGCATATTTTAGCTTGTTGCAGAAAAGAAAATAGAGTTTGAGGTGTTTCAGAGGCTCTCTGTGTAATCCTAAACATGTCCACTCAGATGTAAATTCCATTGAGTCCCAGGCAAGTGTGTTTTGGATTGCAGTCTTAGCACATGTAACAGGAACTAAACCCCGTTAAACACAGTGGGACTTAATTATCATTTTACTTCTGAATAAACATGTATAGGAATGCACAGTAAGTTTATTTATTGTTTTAAGAGATTTCAAAGACAAGATCATACTTCATTATATGCCTACAAAAGTTTATGCTGCACAAATTAGTTATACTCAATGGTCAAAGGTGACTTCAACTAAAAATCACTGTTTTGCAAAGTGTTTGCTTCAGAAGTCTATTGATTGGTTCAAACTCTTTTTGCCACAGGTATTGATGACATTCCCACAACAAATTGTGCCATATTGACTTAAGTATGCAGTATTCATATTAGAGCTCAGAAATTCAACCTTTTGACTCAGCAACATAACATTGTTTGGCCTCTTTCAAATTTATTTGGTGTTTATGTACATTACAGTTTAACAATATGCACAATTATGTACAACCTAACAACAATTCCACCTATCTATATCTCTTCTGACTGTGGAAGCCCACTGCAAATTCCCATGTAGTCAATATTCATAGTAAATGTTCTAAAAAACCTCGTGAGCTCATTATATTTAAATACAGTTTCTTTATTCTGTTTTGTGGCTCATATTTATTAATAAGTTGCAAATGAATCCATCGCTTTTTATGTATAGAAGAATGTAAGAAAAAAATGAACGGAAAATAGCAATTGTGTTACATCTAGTCAAACAAGTGTAATTTTGACTAAAGTGTTGTTTGTGAGTAGGATGACTAGGTGCAATTCAGGATAGTTTGTATTGAAGAAGTAATTGCAGCAAGAACAGTTTTACTTACTCCTATGTTAACACGGCATGGCAAGTTTTAATTCCTGAATCTCCAAGATTGTTTTACAGGTACAGGAACTATACATTTTTTTACCTTTGTTGTTACCTTTGTTGTACTTGTGTACTATTTACCTTTTTTAAGTACCTATTTCTTGCAACTGTTTACAAATGAACACATGATATATAGGCACCTTGTTAAATCTGACTTATTTTGTAAACTGTGTCTGGTCTTAGAGTTGTGACTTACTGTCTAAAGGTCCTTCCAAATGTTGGGTTTTTCACCAAGTATAGTAAAAGCCCAGGAACCTGAACAGGAAATATCTCAAAGGATATATCTATACTCTAGTTTTAAAGGTCATTATTCATCCTTCTCCCTAAATCTTGAAAATCTATTGTTAGGACAAGATTTGGGCGGGGATTTGACAGAGATTTTTGGCACCTTCATTAAATTACAGTTCGCAGGAATTTTTTGAGGAAGTCTTTATAGTTAAATGGAAGTACTAGTGATATGTTGGAGATATAGAGAAGCTTGCAGAAGATGGTTATTTTAGCATACAGATTTGGTACCATTATAGAAGCCAGTTGTTTTTTGTTTGTTTTTTGCCAGCTTCTCAGTGTGCTGGCCAGATTCTCATAGCCCATTTGTGATCATAGCAGAGATCAGTAGGAGGGTCACCAGCATCCCTGTATGGCTTGTGGTTTATTAGGTCTGTTGATTTAATGCACCTGTCTCAAAGTGCCCAAAGCTTGAGATGTCCAGTGATGGGAGAAGCTTCACCTGTTGAGTTGTGTTGTGAGAGGCATCTATTAAAGGCAGAGAACCAAAACGGTGGCAACCTTATTTTGTCCTGTTTGTCCATCATATGTTACTTTCGTGAGTAGGTATTTTGTAGATATGGGTGTGGAAACTACAAAATAAATCCATAATAAAACAGTTGAATAAATCAGTTAAAAGCAAAGCAACAGTCAAAGCACATTTCCAGTATTGTGGACATTTACAATTGTACTGAATTCTGTATTGAAACAGAGGCTTAATAGAGGACTTAAATAATTTATAAGAAATATGTTTTTTCCTCTACTTCAGTAATTAAAATTAGGATGATTTATTCATCACTTATTCTAGTGTACTTCAAGCACATTTAGCAGGGCTTCAGCAAAGTATATAATCAACAGCATGATTCTAGGCATGTCTACTCAGAAGTAAGTTCCACAGAGTTCTATGCACCTTACTTCTAAGCAGTTATTCTCTTAAAATGGCAATGGTGCCCACCTGAGACGTGCCAGAACTGAGTTCTGGTGAGTTCCATCTGGAAAAAGGCCTGCTTCTAGGTAAGTACAGTGGTACCTTCGTTCTGGAGGTCCATTCTTAACCTGGAACTGTTCTTAACCTGAGGTATCACTTTAGCTAATGGGGCCTCCCGTTGCCGCCGCCGCCACTGCGCGATTTCTGTTCTCATCTTGAAACAAAGTTCTTAACCTGAGGTACTATTTCTGGGTTAGCAGAGTCTGTAACCTGAAGCGTCTGTAACCTGAAGTGTTTGTAACCTGAGGTACCACTGTATGTATAGGATTGTAGCCTTACTGACCTTTATAAGGTGTCTGTTGTTAGTAGTATTAATTTTTATCCTGGCTTTCTTCAGGTGTATTCACAGTACTAAAATCAACAAAATCACATAACAACTACAGCTACAACCCAAAGTTAATAACACAAAAAGCAGACTGAAACGAAACGAAAAAGTAGAAGAAGCAGTTCTGAGACTATTCTATTAAATGGTTCCAGCATTCAAAATAATGAACACAGTTTTTATTATTACTGATTTCAGTAACATTTCACATATTGCTGGATCAGTGCCCTTCTTTCCAGGACCCTGGCTTAATCTGAAGTGACACATTCCTGAGAGACAACTTTGGGCTTGTCACTCAGTCAGCAGTCAACGGGAAGCTGTATTCAGTCCTGCATATTTATTTGTGTGTGATACCTATGTTTGCAAAGACACAATTTATTGTCTTCCCTCTTTGTATTTATATGAGTGCATTCACTACATCTCAGGTGTGCAAATCCATATTTAAAGTTTGGTGTAAGTTTGTGGTGTTTGCTCTTCTGTGGAGCGAGAAAGGAAATTAGAGGCGGCTTCTCATAAAGGTAGAGGTCTTCACAAAGACAAATAAGCCTGCCTTTAAAATGCGTCATATTTGAAAGCTGTGCCATTTATCTTCTCCTGCTTTGTTTCTTCTTGTGAATGAGCAAAGTTACAACTTTAGAGCTGACTTTTCTGGAACAGCTTCTTGTTTCAGCTGATTAAACTCTGCGCTCGTAATTTTGTGGTGTAAGCATAGCTTGCACACTCTTTATTAACAATCAGCTGCTTTAACTCCACTGCCAAGCATAGCATGGTAAATCCTAATAACTATGTTTGGAATGCCTGCGCTTTTTATTAATTATGTAGGTTCCCACCCACTCAGCATAACTGCAAAGTATATGCATTTGTGGGATTTTGCATAGCAATTACTTGTGACATGAGACTTAACCACTCATTATAGCAGGCTCAGGACTAACTTTGCAGGGTGCAGCATGAGGGCCGTGGCTTTATCCGTTAGCAGAGAATCATGGCCCTGAGTCACCAGTTCCATGATTGGAGTCTTCTCAGCATAATACAGTCATACCTCATGTTATGTTTGCTTCATGTTAGGTTTTTTCAGGTTGCGTCCCACGGCGACCCAGAAGTACCAGAAAGGGTTACTTCCGGGTTTCGCTGCTCGCACATGCACAGAAGCACTAAATCGTGCTTCGTGCATGCACACAAGCACCAAATCGCACCGCACAAATACGGCGCTTCAGGTTGCGGGCTTTTCATGTTGTGAACGGGCCTCCGGAACGGATCCTGTTTGCAACCAGAGGTGCCACTGTACTGGTGTGCATTTGAGGATTGATTCAGGACCTTTGTATCTAAGTGGATTGATTACACCTTTCACAATAATCCCAGAGAATCCAGACCATTATTGATCAGTGAGAATTTTGGTGATGGAAACTAATGAAATGAGGTAATCTGCACAAACAACAGATAGCCATTGAGAAGACTAGTGGAGGGAAGGGTATATTGCTAATCTTACCGTATATTTAAGCTCCAAATGTAAACACCCATCAGGAACCTCAGCTACTTAACTCCAGCAATTGGTGCACAAGGCACCCTACACAGGTAAGCAAGGGAGGAAAGGACCACCATGGTTGAGGAGTCCCTGTTCAGAGCATTACTCCTGCCAATCCTAATCCCAACCCTTTACATATCTTCCAATCCTTGCTGTGATACATCAAAACCGTGTGTTGGCTAAAGAACTGAGACTCAATAGGCTGAAGCAGTATTGAGCACACAGAGGCAGAATAGACCATAATTGCTGTATAGCATAGTATCATAGAGTTGGAAGGGACTCTTGGGATCAACTATTCTAACCTCCTGCAGTTCAGGAATATGCAATTGTCCCATCGAACCTGTAACCTTGGCATTACCAGCACCATGCTCTAACCAACTGAGCTATCCAGGCATGTACAGTGGTACCTCGGGTTACAGACGCTTCAGGTTACAAACTCTGCTAACCCAGAAATAGTACCTCGGGTTAAGAACTTTGCTTCAGGATGAGAACAGAAATCGCACAGTGGCGGCGGCAATGGGAGGCCCCATTAGCTAAAGTGGTACCTCAGGTTAAGAACAGTTTCAGGTTAAGAACCGACCTCCAGAACGAATTAAGTTCTTAACCCGAGGTACCACTGTACTGTGCAGAAAGTGATCGGAGTTGACAATGAACTTCAGAATGTAGATAAGCTCCTATGCTGCATTGGTGGTGGCAATGGAGAGCACACCATAGCTCTTTAGTGGGAAGGGCTATAGCTCAGTGGTGGTGCACATATTTTGAATGCAGAAGGTCCCAGGTTCAATCTGCAGCATCTCCAGAAAGGGCTGAGCGCCTGTCTGAAATCTTGGAGACCTGCTGCCTGTCCGTGCAGGCAACAATGAGCTAGATGGGTCAATGGCCTTCTTCTGTCTAAGGCAGTTTCCTGTGTTTCTAAAGTCACTTGTGGATGAACACCCAACACTTCACTCCAGTGGTTCATACTGTTGGACAAACACTCATGAATCTGTTTTTTGTTGCAGAATTAGAGCCAGGGCAGGGTACAGGTCATACAAGTCACAAAAGGTCACACAGGGTACAGGTCCTCCACATTTTTTGCCAAAAGTTGAACCTTGCCTTTAGAAGATTCATTATGGTGTAAACCATGGGGTTGATAGTAGGCATGTCTGCCTTCACCTTTTGCTTCATGTTCTCTCTAACTTGTTGTATGGGGTAGTTACTTTACACTACCGCAAGCACAGGCTGGTATGTGGATAACAGGGCTGCCACAGCTTTTATTGCCCCTGTTCCTTTGTCTTGATGAACAACCCAAGGCAAAGGAATAATGCCCATGAACATTTTCCTGGCATGAAGATAATTGAAGGAAAAATGTTTCCCAACTACATTTGTGTGTGTTGGGTAGTTAAAGGTCCAGTGAAAAGATGGAGCACCTGTGGCCCTCCGGATATTGATGGACTACAGCTCCCATGATCTCTAACCATTGGCCACACTGGGTGAGAGTGATGGGAGCTGGAGTCCAACTACATGTGAAGGACCACCGGTTCCTCATCTCTGGCATAGCAGCAGAAGCAGGGCAAATGGTAGCAGCCTTAGTGGAAAATCCTTCTTCAGAGCATTCAGTTGGACTGTGTGACTGATTTGTTCCAACCCTCTGCTTCCATGTGCCTGTCCTGGGCCATGGGATATGGCACCCATGTCTTACCTCTTTCACCATGACTCCTAGCACTTTGCCTGCTGTTTTATTGCTTCTCTCTCTTGCCTTGCCGCACATTTAAGCATGATAACCTCAACCACTAAGCAGCTGTAATATTCTATAGTCTTGCATTGGTTCTACTTATGAACTAATGAATGTAGGGCCTCATATATAGCTCCTAACAGTACAGTACATGGGAAAGAAGTCCCAAAATTATCAAAGGCAATCTCACACTACAGCTCATGTGAGATTAACTTATGCACAGCCACTTGCTAATAATGTTACACCCCACTGTAGTAACTGTTCTCCATAACCACATAAGGGAAAGTAAATGCTGGCTTGCCACTTTTTATTGACCCTCCTTGTATCTTAACAGCTGTTGAACACAGACATTTAATAAGTGAATATTTTCTCGTTACTTATTTGCATGCTGGGAAAAGTTTCACTTCCTTAATTTTTGCATGTCAGGTTCCTGGTTATATGGCCATGTGGGTAAACCAGTAGGGCTGGTTCAATTCCAGTTGGTGGGGCTAGCCCCAATACATTTTGCAACCCGAAGCAAAGGACAAGGTGATGCTCCCATTCCACATACAGAAGTCCATTAGACTGGCAGTTGAATGTTACTTCAACACTGGTCGTGAAATAGTGACCCCCATGGAACCTGAGGACAACAGGTTGCCTTAGGAGGTGCAGAACAGGCTGTGTGGCTCAGTCTTCCAATAGAGGGGAGTGCTGCACCCCAGTATCTTCCACCTGAGGCATTTGACTCACTCTGCCCAATGGTGGGGCTGGCCCTTAGGTCATTCCTCAATAGTCATTCAGAAATAAGGGATATTACCACACTGCCATCTGTGAACATCAACATCCACATGGCAGCCATAGTTGTGGAGATTGAACTACATTTTTCTGCTGGCCAGTCTCTCCCTCAAGCCCTCTAGCTAGCACCAAGTCTGATATTGAACTTCCTTTCTGCCTCTCTGATAAATAAGTCCCATGTCACAGTTTGAGCACTGGTTGACTTCTGGAGGAATCTGAGCAAGGAATAATCCACTTGTTTGTCTTCCTTTCTTCAGATAACCATTTAAACATAACCCAAGAGCTGACAGAAGACCTTTGCCTCCACCCCAGAATCATCCAGTAGACTTTTGAACAAATGTTTATTATTTTTACATAGCTGCCACTCCTTATTAGTAGGTGAGTGTATAATTTTACTGTCAGTCCAGTGAAACCCACTCCTAGAGTATCACCTAAGGCTATCTAAGTACCAGTGTGGAACTGAAAGATAATCTCAGAGTATGCAGGATTATGAAGAAGTTGGGAGCTGGAAGGAAATCCATAGCAAGATTCAGGGATTTTTATTTTTATTTTTTGCTTGGTATTGCCTTGGGCTTAGAGTTCTTCTCTTACAAGGTTTAAAAACAAATCTGAAGTGAACAAATACATTGAATCTCTTGATGCCAACAAATTTTGGCTTAGTTTTGTATAAAATAGTAACAGCAATTAAAATGTGATGTGACAGCAGTTTCTAGGAAATGATTTTTAACTGAGGAGTTGCATAATGGGGGTGCTGCTGACATGATGAGAATTAACCTATGGAAGAAAACATTTTAGCATTTAACGTTTTAGTAAGAAAACATTACTCAGGGATTTAAAGTGTCTACAGGCAAATCTGATCCTTACCGTACAGCTTTAGGGCATATAAGTCCACATTCATTTGAGTGTAAGCAGCATTCCCACAGAGCTGTGGATGAATTAGGTGTTTTCATATGCACTGCTAAACCAGAGGTCAGAGGTGCTGGAAGAGCAACAGCAGGGATCATTCTATTGACAGTCAGCTAACCAAGGGGCGGGATTGCCTAGCAATCTGTCAGATCAGCATGAGCCTTGTTGAGGTAAATCGAGCTCAGATTGACAGTATTGGTCTGAAGGAGTTTTCACTTTATGTATGGCTGTAATTCTACCTGATCTCACTACAAAGCCTGAACTAAGAAAGAAAAAACATTTTTGTTTATTTCTCCTCTTGTAGTTTGCTCAGTAAATTATCAGTTTCTTTTCTCTCTGGACACTGAGTTCTTTACGTGAGTCTGCTAACCAGGGAAGGTATGGCAAGAGATGCCAAGCAACAATAAGAGGAATCACAAAGGATGCCTCTTTTATTAACACTGATGCTGAATCGACACCATGGAGATACCTGGTACATGTAACACCACTTTGGGCCCACATAGCAATACCTCCAAGTCATGAAGAGGCAGCTGCACTTGCCTTAACTGTCAAGTTAAAAGTTGCCATGGCTGAAGACTGCCAGATTATCACATCTTCTAACGTGAAAGACTTGTGGGGAAAATATACTCTGCATGTGCTTAGAGACACTCATCTTTATTTCAACTTCATATGTTCTGGTTCTGAACCATGGTTCAAATCAAGCTCTGCATACCTGTCTCTCATTAGCATATTGACTAGAATTTAGGAATTTTAAAATTTGAATTGTTCACTGCAATGAAAAATATTAAGTTGCAATTGGGGGCAAATGAATAAATTATCTTTCTTGGAGCAACAGAATTATCTAAAAAACCAGAAACTCACCAACAGCAAATATATCTTCCCTTGGTGTTATGTGGTTTTTCTTCTTCCCCATTCTGATGCTCAAGAGAATTATGTTAACTGGTGGAATGCCAAAGTGAAAAACTTTTAGTCCTATCAAGCTGTAACAAGGAAGAACTGAGAGGCATCATTTGAGATCTATCCTGTGGAAAAGATCACTCTGTCTCACCTTACACCAGGGGTGGGGAACATTTTTGGCCCAGCAGTCCAGATCTCCTCACCCCATGGGCTTAAATATGGGAGGTAGGCACATTCCCCACATATGGCAACTGCTGAGCACCCTTTTCACCCAAATATGACACTTCTGTCCCCAGTTAGTATCCTCAGTTAGTCATAAGGCTTTGTTTTGCTTGCTTCTGCTGCTTGCTTTGTCAGGTAAATATTTTCCGTTGGGGACCCTGAAATGAAGTATGTCTTCTCATAGACTGATGTACATTTCTCCATCTTTCTTTTCCCTTTGAAATATTCCTTGTGTGTGTGTCAGTGTATGATCATGTGATGCAGAACAAGATGGTGAGATGGATGTTGGCTGCCTGTCAAAGTCCATCATGTTTTGGCAGTTACGCTTCAGTAAAAAGGCTCAACCAACTTGTTCCTGGGCAGACTGCCATCCAAACAGAAGGACATAAATGGAGACAGCCAACAGGCCACATATGCATGTCATGTTAGGCATGTACGTCTGCATATTAATAATCTAGAGAGCTTTCATTTAAAGTAAAGAAGGGCTGCGCTCTGAACTGAGAGATTGACCTTTTAAAAAATAAGATCCACCTAGGTTTTGAATTATGAATATGCACTGCCATGAAATGGATGCTATTCTTCTTGGGTTTTGTTATGCACATCTGGGGTAGTAAAAAGTATAAGGAAGCTTTGCATCCCATTAACTCTTGATGCAACAATGAGACATCAATTTGAAAAATGCCATTCGTTTAAATAGATGTTCCTTGTCTTACCATCGTTAAATTTTTGAGGCTGATCAAAAACCTTGAATCCCATTACTCATGCCATGTGATCAGACACCTGGTTTTCAATTAACTACAGAATGAATGATTGCAGAAAGTTGTACAAAAATGGGATGCCATTTCTCCATAAAGCTGTAAAGGCTGCTTCTATATTCTTTTATCGCCCCCCCCCCCATAATGTCCTGCAGCTGGAATGCCTGTTTGTCAGCCATCAGCAAAGTACTAAGGTTCCAAGGCATAAAAAGGTAAAAGGTAAAGGACCCCTGGACGGTTAAGTCCATCCAAAGGCAACTATGGGTTGCGGTGCTTATCTCGCTTCCAGGCTGAGGGAGCCAGCATTTGTCCACAGCTTTCCAAGTCATGTGGCCAGCATGACTAAACCATTTCTGGCACAACAGAACACTGTGACGGAAACCAGAATGCACAGAAACGCCATTTACCTCTCCCCCCCCCCCGCAGTACCTATTTATCTACTTGCACTGGTGTGCTTTTGAACTGCTAGTTTGGTAGGAGCTGGGACAGGGCAACGGGAGCTCACCCCATCACAAGGATTCGAATTGCCGACCTCCTGATCGGCAAGCCCAAGATGCTCAGTGGTTTAGACCACAGCGCCACCCGCTCCAAGGTATACAGTATATGTGAAGCGCCCCAATACCTTTTTATTTCAGCCAGTTTGGAAGAAGCAGTTTGGAGCAGGGTTATTTCATATTTAACACAATAATTTGACTCAGTATCTCTATGCCAGCATTGGGCTGCAGGAAGAGCACATGAGAGCTGAAGTGTGTATTATATTAGAACATTGGCCCCACTGCTCTGTCCATTATTAGACCACTTAAAATGGTCAATCTTGAAGTGGAATAAATTTCAGGCCAATTTATTTGGAAACTTGTCCAGTGTGGAGGGTGGCCTGTAATGGGGATGTAGGCAAGCAGCAGGCAAGATGGTCAGTCAAGCAGGTATGCTAGCTTGTAGGCTGGGAGGGAAGCAGGTAAATAGGCAGCAACAGCTGGGCCGAGACTGGAAAACCACAGCAATGACAACAGTCTGGCTGTTGCCCAGGCGTAAGCTAGAAGTATTATTCCTTGTTTGCCTGGGAGTGCGGATGGGACCAAGCTTAGATTAGGAGAAAAGTAATTATTCCTAGAGAACAAAAAGGGAGGCTTCAGGTGACTTGTGGCAGAGCTGGGAATAGCATAGTGGCTAAGAGACTGAGTTGCAGACCAGAAAGCCCCTGGTTGAAATCTCATTTCTGCCATGAAATCACAGAGTGCCTTTTGGCCAATCGCTCTCCCCCAGTAACTACATCTGTAACATGGGGATAACAATACTGATCCACTTTGCAGGATTGTTGTAACAAGATCACGATGTGACATTCTTTGAATACTCAGAGGTGATATATAAATGCTAAGTATTATAATAAGGCATGGTGCCATTACAGAATTCAGTACAATTAAAAAGGTAAAGGACCCCTGACAGTTAAGTCCAGTTGCGGATGACTCTGGGGTTGCAGTGCTCATCTCGCTTTACTGGCTGAGAGAGCCAACGTTTGTCCGCAGACAGTTTTTCCTGGTCATGTGACCAGCATGACTAAGCTGCTTCTGGCAAAACCAGAGCAGCGCACGGAAACGCCATTTACCTTCCCGCTGGAGCGGTACCTATTAATCTACTTGCGCTTTGATATGCTTTCAAAGTGCTAGGCTGGCAGGAGCTGGGACCAAACAACAGGAGCTCACCCCATTGTGAGGATTCGAACCACCAACCTTCTGATTGACAAGCCCAAGGCTCAGTGGTTTACACCACAGCACCACCCACATCCTACACAGGCGTCAGTACGATTACCAGCCTTCAGTTTAGATGGCTATGAAGGGCCAGCAATGCTACCTTGATATCTAGTAGGTGTCTATTGTCAAACCATGAAGAAAAGTCTTCATTTCAATGGGCTTCCGTACAGTTTCCACCTCTGCCTTCCCAAATAAAACTCTTGCTAGTATAAATATAGTTATTCTTACTTACAATATTTTTAAAACTGTCCATTACCATTTGGGTGGTAAGCAGAAGAAGAAATGAAAACCATAAAATATGCAATGCAACAACATGAACATAAAATCAGAAACCACCAAGCCCCAACCAGACAGCCTACCCAGAAATACGTTGTAGTCAGTGGTATAAAATATCACTAAGAAGTCAAAGAAGATGAACAAATTGAACTCCCCCATCCCACTCTCAGCAAATGTGACAAAGGCAGTTTTCTTTCCAAGTAGTGGTCTGAAACCCAGTTGAAATGGATTTTGAAAATCAGTGACAGCCGAGATAGCCTGGTGTTGACTAGTGACCATCTACTCAAATGCACAGTCGAGGAAGATGTTAGCATCCATCTGACCTATAGCTGTTTACTTCTGGATACAGCTTAGACTTCAACAGTAACTGTCTAATTACTGTGTCTTTTAAGGATTTTAGTGCCACTCCTTTTTCAAGAAGGAATTAGTTTTGTGAAGATGTAGCCAGGAAACGCTGAGGCTGTTGTACAGAATTTGCATCAATTAGTTCGAAATACAAAAATATTATTGCAAATATCACTCTTTATCTGTTTCGGCATACTGCTACATGTTTGCTTCAGTTGTAAAGAGTGTTCCTCTAATTTCTGCTGTGCTGTGAACATCGTGTTATGATTGCTGTTTGCATTTGCATTTAAACAAATTTGATTTAAGATGAGGGCGGGTGGGATGATCTTTCCTCGCTCTATTTGGAGGCCTTGTTATTTTCTTTCAGGATGGATGGGAGCTGCTGCTTGACTTCAGAGGGCTCTGGTGATTTGTTGTGGGATTCAGCCTCTTGATAGGTTTAAATGACAATCACAACAAAAGGATGCCAACCCTTTAAACCAGTGAACTGTGCTCCAAATAATTAACGAAACATTGCTGAGCTTCGGAAGGCAGATGCTAAAAGCACTGTGAATCTCTCTCTTTGAAACATACTGTGCCCTGTTGTTCTCAGCAGCAATTTGCAGAGATACATTCAAGGCTAAAGCAAAGTATAAATTTCTCACAATCAAGGACAAAATCACACTCGATGCAACAAGGGAATCTTAGCTCTGCAGCAGCCTAACCATATATGACATAGCCCAAGCTGCGTCCTGAGCATGCCAAGAATGAGAAGACAGTCTGCTACAACTCCTTCTCTTTTTGTGCAGTTAACCAGTTGTGTAGCCTACAGTTGTATGTGTCTAGTTCTACAATTTGAAGATCTTAACATATTTTGTTAAAATTCTTAATAACTGACTGCAGTAGAATCTCCTCAGCTGTGCAAATCTGTTGTAGCCTGATCCTAGGCATGCTTATTCACAAGCAAGTGCCGCTGGATGCAGTGGGACTTGCTTGCAAGTAAGGATGCCTGGGATTTCAGACTTAATTAAACAGTTTGCTGCACTTCGCTCTGAAGTCCCCATGTCAGCATACACTTATGTATGCTAATGGCTCTCCCTTCTTCCTGACTCGGAGTGAGTATGCATACTAATTTTTGAATGGGGTTGATTGTGCATCCAGATCATTTTTGATCCCAGTAGTATCTTGGGTGTCAGCAGGACACAAATCATGTCTCCCTTGCCCACGTCATGTATGGCTGGCAACTGTTGAGCCTTCATGGACCAAGCAGTCAGCACAGCAAAATTAACAAAGGGTGGGGGTGGGGACCAGAAGACATTAGGAGGGTACTTTTGATTCATTATCATTGCTCCTGCCAGCACAGGCTTTAGCTATAAACCCTGTTTAACCATGAAATTGGCACTGGAATGTTCATGAATTCTTGGAGACAGGAGGCTCCAGCACACCATAAGCTATATTTTCACCTCGGGAGTATTCCCTGGAAAGGATGCAGAAGATCAGTTTGTTTAAGGAGGGAGCATTCCTGTAGGATTACACAGATGCTTTGTTTTGAAAGATGTCATGCTGTCTGCTGAACAGAAATGAGCTGTTAGGACTAGAGAATATTACATATGCATATGCCAGCAGAATGCCACAATTTGGTGGCAATCAGTTAATTGGTCTAAGTCATCCATATGCATAACCTCTGTGTTGGCTGGCTTGTTCTGGATTATCTATAGGATGTAATACCTAAAAGAGACTACCAAATAAATCTGAAGTGCTGTTCATTCTCTCTACTTTCTCATAGAGTGCATTGATTCCACTAGGTCTATTCCAAGTGTAAACATAGTTGGAAACCACCCAATGCTTTCCCCCATATCTTCCACAGAGGAACTTTCACTGAGTTCTTTTCTTCTGCTACTGAACCACAGTAAGCCTTGCAATTAGCATCACTTAGCTTTTGCTTTATTTCTGAATGGGACTTTTTGAACTGGGAAAGCCGTTCATTAGCTGAAAATTAATAGCCGCAATTTGATGAGTCACTTTGTAGCTCCTGGTTGTTGTTGTTTTTAAACACAATGTTTTCCAGTCATGGAAAGAAGCCACTGTTACCAGCAGAGCAGAGAAAAATGAACACACACAAACATGGTTAAAGTAGATTAAATGAAACCACATCAATTTCTCAAAACCAAACTACATGTGATATGGCAGTGGAAGAAACAGGGCAGGCACAAGAGATCGCACCATCCCCTCCTCATTCTCTTTCTCTCTTCTGTGACCTCTCCTCCTTTCTCCCTGTTCCTGATTATTATCATTATTATTTCAATTATAGAATTGTAGAGTTGGAAGGGGACCACGGTGCTCATCTAGTTCAACCCCCTGCAATTCAGGACTCTTTTGCCCAACATAGGGCTCGAACCCATGATCCTTAGATTAAGAATTTCATGCTCTACTAACTGAGCTGTCGGTAGCTAGAAATAGCACAGACACTCTATCAGCCACCTTACCCAGAATGCTTCACTTTGAGGAAGAGCATGCCCCTGGCTCTTCCTCAGAATAAGACAGGGTGTAAGAGGGAGAGCCTCCAAGGCTCCAGGGTGGTATCACCAGCAGGGGCAGTAGATGGGTGGTGAGGCAAGTGAGGGGCAGTCTGGAGGGGTTAATTCGCTGCTGTCTGTGTCCACCACTTAGGACAGTTGCCTCAGCTTGCTTCATCATAGCGCTGCCCCTGAGTTAAATTCCTTCAGTTCCTGCTTTGATTCTGTTAATTATTAGCCCCTCCGACAGATGCACTTTGCATTTTAAGGGTCTGAGCTCTAGGGAACCAACTCCCCCCCCCCCCACACACATTAAATAATGTATGTAATTCGGCCCTAAATGGTGTAAACCAGCATCTTTTGAGAAATTGCTACTGGGCTTCACTCTGAAAAGCACTTAACAGAATGCTAATCTAGTGCTGCTAAAAGTTCTTGCAACTCCATGAGTAGGCTTCATAATCAGGCCCTCCTGCCAGAATCTAATTAATAGCGTACTATAGAAGCTAGAGCCATGCAAAGATATTTAGCCTCATTATGTGGGTACTGGCTTCACATAGCACTTTGAAGTTAATTGGTTGGCCGTGAATAAAAAACAGGCACATTATTGATAAAAGAGTATCTGTTAAAATATCATTTTGAGATGGATAAAATATTTTCAGCTGCACATATAAACCATTTTTTCCTTTAGGTCAGGTAGGGGAATAGGACTGAAGATGATTCAGGATGAGGTAGTGGTAGCTGCAGAAAATCAATTGGATGATACCTTAGTCAAGGAAGTACATGTTTTCTGTTCTTTTCTTCCAGGAACAGTAGTGCCGCAGAGATATGGCTGGTCATATGTATTGCATGGAAGCTTGCTGGGAAGCCTGCATTCAGTATGCATGGCCAGCAACATCTTGGAAGCACTATTGCCACTGGAAGCAGGGTTGCCAGACTCCAAGGGCACATTTCCCTGCCCCCAACCAGGGCAGGGGGAGGGCTTGACTCTCCCAAGTGGGTGAGAGCGCCTTCCCTACTGAGACTTCCTAAGCAAGGGAGAAGGAATAATCCTCTCATTTAAGCTACACCCGGGAACACCCACTTTAGCTTAGTTTTTTTATTTATTTTAATTTCCAAACAGTTGCATATTTGCTTGCTTGTTACGACTTTGCATTTTTTAAATGTGAATGATAAGCCCTCAGCAACTGCAGTTAAGGCTTAATGTGTCGTGCCTAATGTTGTCCCACCCCTGTGGCATCACCAGGGGCTGCCTCCAGGCCTCCTCAAGTTTGGGCCTTCAAATCTCCGGGTTTCCTGAGTTTTCCTGAATTTGCCTCCTAAGGCCAGCCCCGGATTGAGACCAGCTTTTCTGAGTTGAAAGGGTTGCCTTGCTAACAGAATTGTAACATGGGAGAAACTGCTGGGAAGATGAGCTATGAGATTCTGAAATGGGGGCAAACACTTCAAAAGAAGTGCATTCTGGTAAAGCTGATCTGGGGGAGATGTCTGAAGCCAAATCTCTTCTCTTTCTGTTCACTCGCTTTTAATAATCTGCACATGGTGTCTCAGTAGCTGTCACCTCCTCCTTGAACAGAACCCCAAAACGTAGTTCCTTCAAAGTCTAATTTTTGATGTGCACAACATACCTTACTGGCTACTCTTTTATCAGCACTCAGAGCTTGCATTCCCTCCCCCCCCCCATGCCTTTTCTTGCATAGGGACTTCTTCCATGAGATCTTTATAGAGCTGAAGAAGACACTTTAATCTTGTGTGTATAAATGACTTATGGATGATGGAAATTTAGGTTCTTCCATCCATTACCAGACAGTACTATGTGTGTGGTTTTCTGTCTGTCTGAATGATCACCCAAGCACCAAGATTACAACTTCAACGACAAATAGCATCACATGAATCTTAGGTATCCAAGAAGGAAAAGACTTACTGATACATCTGCTACATGGTTCTGACTGCATTTGATTGTTCTGTGTTGCGCTGTTCACTTTGGATGTGTGGGTTGTTCTGTTTTTTGTATGCCAGTCTAATTTTAAAGATTCAAAATGATGAACTTCTCCAGGGAGAATGTTCTAAGAGTATAAATTTTTTTCTGTTCACTTTATTCATGGGTAACTCTGCCAAACTCTGAACTGTTGGCTTCGGAGCATTTTCCGCACAACCTATACAACTGGCTTTCAGTTTTACCACTATCTTGTCCTTTTGCTTCATGCTAGTTCACCTTCAAAACACTTAACAAAGTTAAATGTTACCACCATTTTAATTTCTCTTCATACTGCTGAATTCTTCCGCAAAAATTCAGTTCGCAAATACAAGTAGAATCCATTCCAAATCCAGTAAGAGTTAGTCTGGAATCTATGTGAAATGTTTGATATGTTTGATTCCAGTCACCAGGGCACACCAATGTGGAGTGTAACAGGGGCAGGGCGGAGTGGGCAGGCCACCCCGGGTACCACTCGGGGGAGGGGAGATATCCCACTGCCTCCCCCCTGCTGTAAAGCGGCTAAGGGCCCGTACGCAGTTAGTATGGGTACCATTTGTCTGGGTGCGTGTGCGCCACTAGGCGGTTCACCCTGCCCATTGGCGTCCCACCCCAGATGCTGGAGAGCGTTCCTCCACCACTGGAGTGTAATTCTCTTGCAGGCTCAGAGGGAAAAAGGCTATTCTTGAGAGTTTATGGTCCCAGGCCATTTAGGAGAAGGGTGAGAAACCTGACTTGGACCAAAACTCCCATCATTTCTGAACATTGGTCAGTCTTGCTTGAGTTGATGGGAGTTGGAGTCCAATAACCTCTAGAGAACCACAGATTTCTTATTCCTGATTTAGGACATCAGAGATCAATAACAGCACCTTGAATTGGGCCTGGAAGCAGATGAGTAGCTGGTGAAGTTGGTAAAAATTGATAAAATATGATCCCATCAAAAGGTTCCATTCAAATCCTGGTGGAACCTACTGGCAGCTCCCTATTTTAAGCAAGCAGGACTTCATCTAGTAACTCAGGCTGAAATCCTGGGAGTAAGTTCTACTGAACTCAGTTGGATTAACTTCTGAATGCATAGGCTTGTACTCCATGAATTTCCAATTTTTTATTGGCTGGATGAACATCCCAAAATGGCCTGAGTAAAATTCCCTTTGCATTTTTCCTACCGATGTCCATAACAGCAGAATGAGGGCAACACTGAGTGCTTTTGAAAGCGCCATCTATAAATCATGAGATAATTGTGTCTCTGAAGAGTGTTAAAAGTGGCACTGGGAATCCCATATAGTAGTATTGGTATTTTAGCCTTAGGGAAATATTTCTGGAGCAGAAGGATTAATGTGCTGAGCTCAACAGTAGCTGTACCTGATTTAAGAAACAGCAGATGGAAAAAAAAGAGGAGGAAGATATTGCTATGCAGCCCAGTAAAATGTGAACATCACATTATATAGAGAGCTCTCTAAGGATACAGCTTGAGTCCAGTTCCAGCATTTGAGTGAATAGTATTTCTGAATTCCTGCCATATGCTGTTACGGCAACCAACATAAGAAGAGCCCTGCTGGATCAGACCAAACGCCAATTAATCTGGCATCCTGTTCCCCATCACAGCCAGCCGAATGCCTATGGTAAGCCCACAAGCAAGACAAGCTGCCTTTGTTTGGACAGTTAGCTTTTCCATTTAGCCATCTTCTATAGAATCAATTGGGTGGCACTTTGGGTTAAACCACAGAGCCTAGGACTTGCCGATCAGAAGGTCGGCAGTTCGAATCCCCACAACGGGGTGAGCTCCTGTTGCTCGGTCCCTGCTCCTGCCAACCTAGCAGTTTGAAAGCACGTCAAAGTGCAAGTAGATAAATAGATACTGCTCCAGTGGGAAGGTAAACGGCGTTTCCGTGCGCTGCTCTGGTTCGCCAGAAGCAGCTTAGTCATACTGGCCACATGACCTGGAAGCCGTAAGCCGGCTCCCTCGGCCAGTAAAGCAAGATGAGCACCGCAACCCCAGAGTCGGTCATGACTGGACTTAACGGTCAGGGGTCCCTTTACCTTTTTACCTTTACCAAGTTACAGGTGAGAATTGGGTTCAGCTGGTAATATACCCTAACCCAAAACTGAACCTAAAACTCTGCTTCCCAACTGAAACTGAATCAACCTCTGTCACTAGTTGTATTTAAGAGTGTAGGATTGTTTAGCCCTGTTTAGTCCAGCCTTGTCTGCTCTGACTAGCAGTGACTGTCCAGGGTTGCAGGCAGAGACTTCTTTCTTATCCCCTGCTATCTGATCCTTTTGACTAGAGATGCTGTGGTGTGAACCTGGAGCCTTGTGCATGTGAAGTGTGAGGTATGAGCTCCCAGTACGTTTCCAAGCACAATTCAAAGTGTTGGTGCTGACCTTTAAAGCCCTAAATGGCCTCGGTCCAGTATACCTGAAGGAGCGTCTCCACCCCCATCGTCCTGCCTGGACACTGAGGTCCAGTATCAAGGGCCTTCTGGCGGTTCCCTCACTGCGAGAAGCCAAGTTACAGGGAACCAGGCAGAGGGCCTTCTTGGTAGTGGCACCCACCCTGTGGAATGCCCTCCCACAAGATGTCAAAGAGAAAAACAACTAACAGACTTTTAGAAGACATCTGAAGGCAGCTCTGTTTAGGGAAGCTTTTAATGTTTAACAGACCACTGTATTTTAATATTTTGTTGGAAGCTGCCCAGAGTGGCTGGGGAAACCCAGCCAGATGGGCGGGGTATAAATAATAAATTGTTGTTGTTGTTAACATCTCTAGGGGGACAATCGGGTCCCATTTGAATGGAATAGTTGAGGCTAGAATGATTGCATTGCAGGGAGTTGGACTGGGTGATCTTTGTGTCTCTTTCAATTCTACAATTCTATGATTACGTTATTGGAAACCACAGGAGAGGAGAGGGTTCCTGTGCTCGAATCCTGCTTATGGGTTTCCCACGGGCATTTGGTTTGGC